GCTAACTTCTTAGTATTCACCTTCTAAATGGGCGCTCTGGGGTGATTGAGGTTTTTATCATAAATAGCTGCTACCCTAGGGCAATGCACACATTTGGTAGATTTGGATGTTGTTTCAAGTGATACAAGGTTGTCAGATTTAGTCAATAAAATAAAAGACACTCAGTATAATCTGAATTTCAGATAAACAACAGATAATTCTGTGGTATAGGCATGTCTCATACAATACTTGGCAACTCCACAATCCAAAAGCAGAGCTGATAGAGCACTGGGTTTTCAAGAGATTTGTAGTTTGCCCAGAATGGCCCAAAGAATTTGTTTGACCAGGACTGCAGGTAATTACCCAAACAGAACTTCTCGACACAGCAATCTGGCACCAACACCCAAATCCTGGTTGCTTAGACATTGAAATACATACTGGTTGTATGATATTACAATATAATAAAGAAATATACTATATATTTGATCTTTGTGTCTGGCTCCTGGCCAGAACTCCTAAAGCCCTTGTAACTTTCTAAGTAATAAGAGTACCATAGGAGTATCTTTTGTAATATATTTGAGTTTTTTCCCCAACTCCTGAAAGAGCTCAGAAGCAATAATGGTAAAAGGAGAATCTTTTGTTACTTACAACAAGTCGCTTTCAACCACACCTATGTTTATGTTAATGAAGTGACTTTTGGAGGATGGGGGCTCTTTGTTAGAGGAGTCAACCCTGTGATAGAGGGTTGGAATTTTCTTAGGCTTCCAGCCCTTGAACCCCAGGAGAGTAGAGGAGCTGGAGGTTGAGTTAGTCGCCAGTGGCCAATGATTTAATCAACTGTGTCTCCCTAATGAAGCCTCTACAAAAACTCTGACCAAAGAAATTTTGTTTGCTTAGGGACAGAAGCTCTTGTGCTCAGGACCCTTCTGGACCTCACAGTATGTATTTCTTCATCTGGCTATTCATTTGTATCTTTTAAAAATATTCTTTGCAATAAATTGGTAATAGCAAGTAAACTTATCTCCCTGGGTTGTACAAGCTGTTCTAGAAAATTATGGAACCTGAGGAGGGGGTATGAGAACCTCCAATTTGTATCCAAGTCAAACAGAAATTGTGGGTAACCTAGGAACCCACTATTTATGATTGGCATCTGAAGTGGGGCAGTTTTGTAGAACTGAGCTGTTAACCTGTGGGATCTGACCTTAACTCCATCCAGTTGGTATCCCCAGAGAATTAGAAAATTGCTTGATGTGGAAAACCCATACATTTGATGTCAGAGGTCAAGAGTGTTGTGATAGTAGAGAAAATAATCCCCCCCCCCATTTTGTTTGGTAAGTAAATGCTGCTGTGAGTCTCCTGGGTGTCTACCCTACACCAACCCTACCTCCTGCCATTCCCCAAGGAACTCCTAGATCTTCTCACAGTTTAGTAATTAAAAAATGAAAGTCCACCTCAATGAAGGGACTCTGTAGTAGCCCTAATAGATGCCATTGTCCATTCTGGTTTGTGAATGCCAAACTCCCACCCATTATTAAATGTTTTTAGCTGTTATCCTGCATACGAATAAGGATCAGTGTAACCATAGAAAAAGGCTTAAGAAAGTACTATCCTGATGGGGACACTACAAATCAGGTTTAAAACTGGAAGCAGAGCAGTCCTGGTTCAATGTCTAGGGCTGATCAACACACTGCAGAGCAATATTCTATTTTCTGATCTTAAAGTTCAAAGCACTGTAAACAAAAAATAAAATTCCAGGCCCCACAACTGACTGAACAGATCATCTCTTGGCCAAGGGTACCCAGATTAACCTTGAAAACTGAGCTCTTGGTCAACACCATTAGTTTGTCTTCCCTAAGGACTAAACAGAAACCAGTCCTTTCAAAACACTTCACCACTGATATCAACCAATTGCCTGACACTGCCCCTCCTTTTTCGCCTGATAAGAGACTAACGACCATAGAGTGGATCTGATCAGTCTATGGAGAATGTGCAGTAAAGGTTTTCCCTGCATTCTCTGCTTCACCTTTTGACATCAAAGGGCATAAAATACCCTTGAATTAGTCTAATGCAGCCATTTTTTGAATATGGGTCAAACATAAGGCATAAAGTTCAATTGTACATGCACATGTTTCTCTGCTCATAAGTACGCATGACTCCTATGGCTTATTAAATATGTATATTCAGCCACACTGTTCAGCATAGATTCCTGTTCCCTTTGCCCACCTTCCCCCACCCCCTAAATGTCAGTTTTCAGATTCTGACTGGAGGATATGTTTCCTAGCCTGGCGGAACAGTCACCTTGCAGGCTATACCCCTTTATGAGAGAAAAGGCTCTCCTTACCACATTTATGTACCTTGTAATTCTTCAGTTGACAGCCCCTAGAGAAAAGGGCTCTTTGCAAACTGGTGTGGTAGTTATTAACAGGATGCACCTTTTTTCCAAATCAGTAGTACCCTTTCACATGGAAATCTTACTTAGAATATCAATATTTAAACATATTAAGATGGATAAAATCACAATGTCTGAAGAGAAGAGCTTGGAGGTAAGGAAAGAAAATAGGACCCAAAGTCTAAAAACTGCTGATGTAAAAAAAAAAAAACAACTAAAAAACCCTCTAGTTTAAAAAAATTATAATTATTGAAAAGCTAAGAAACATATTTATTTCTTCTTATACAGTATTTACACATATGTATATACATATAAAATATACACAATATGTAAACACATATTTGTATATAATATACATAATATATAACATATATATTATATATGATATATAATATATACACATATATAAAAAATAAAAGGCTGGTTCAAGAAATAGACTTTTTAACGTAGTTATATATATCAAAGCCTAAAAAATAGTTATAGAAAATACTCCACCTCCAGAAATTTATCATAAGAAAATGGGAAGAGTATAAAGAAAATGCTATACATATGATGATGCTATTTATTTTCAAATAGTAGTACTATTCCAAAATTGGAAACAATTTCAACATCCAATAACAGAGAAATACATTTTGGCATTCCATCTAGTGGAATATTATTCAATCATTGAAAAACTCATTTACAAAGAAATTTGTAAGAACATGGATAAGCAAAGTAAGAGTGGTTAAAAAAAAGAAAGAAGCTTATAAAATCTAGCATTAAAAAAATCTCATGGGGAGACACCCCTTATTAACAAGGGTGCCTGAACGATGCACATTTGTATACCTAACCCTTAATTGTATCCCACAATTTTATAATACAAAATGTTTACTAAAAAAAAAAAAAAAAAATCTCATTGAAAATTAATAATACATAGTGAAAATTTCAAAGGAAATTTATCAAATTTTAACAATTGTTGTCCTTGCTGCTAAGACTATAGGTTATTCCTTTTCTTTTTTTTCAATTTATGCATTTCAAATCGTCTTTAAGGATTGTATATTATTTTTATAATTGTAATAAATTAAGTAAAGAAATAATTTCATTCACTGAGGAAAGAAAAACCAGAAATACATAGTTTAACCAATAAAAAACACATAAACACGGTATTTTTTAAAACACAGAAGAAAATTAAGCAGCCTTTTAAAACCCATTTCTGCACTTATGCTGCAGCCCTGTTATTTGCAGCAAACATTACTTAAAGTAATTCACCAATAGATGTCACTGTTACACTTCTTACTTTGAGCACATCTCAAGATGCACTACCACAAAAAATGCTAATTCCGACATCATCATTTCCTGCAGGGTTGTAGATTTGTCATGTTTATTATTATTATTATTATTATTATTTAAGTTTTAATTTTTTTGTGTTGGAGTCTCACTCTGTCGCCCAGGCTGTAGTACAGTGGCACACTCAGGGCTACCTCAGCCTCGACCTGCTGGGTTCAGTTTATCCTTCCGTCTCAGCCTTCCAAGTAGCCATCAGGCCCGGCTAATTTTTCTTAATGTATTGTAGAGATGAGGTCTCGCCCAGTTGCCCAGGCTGGTCCTAAACCCATGAGCTCAGGCAGTGCTTTCACCTCAGCCTCCCAAATTGCTGGGATTATAGGCGTGAGCCACCATGCCCAGCGGGATTTATCATCTTTCAGCTTCATTCTAAACCTCCTTTTATAATACCATGGATGTTGAATGTTTTTCTAAAATGACACACAGTGACTATGATCTTCAGGTTATGAAAAGTACAAGGTTCTGCTCTTCAGTTACCACCACTGTGAACATCATAGACCTAACCCATGTTCATCAAACACATAGTTTTCTGAAAGTAATGAATTGGATTTTTACAGGACTGTCAATAGGCATTAAAGTGAATGACAAGAAGAAAAGTACTTCTTGTATTCCCAATGCTCACTCCATCTGTGAAAGGAAACTGGGTGGATACAGAGGGATGGAGAGAATTGCGATCATCTGGTTAATCCTATCAGGCCATCTATTGCGGAAGTAGCTAAAACCCAGCCTGATGTTTGTATCAGGGAGTCAATACTTCCGTGCCAATGAATACATGAATGAATGAAAAAGGAGAAGGCTACGTTTTTTAAATGGGTCATCCTGTATTCAACAGATTTCCTGCCAACCTGTTCACCTGTTATTTGAGCAGCTAGAGAGAAAGAAAGGTTTATGAATGTGCAAGGAAGATAGGCTATTTGGATTTCACTGGAGAATCCGGGGTACATCAGTCAGATGACATATGTCATTTACAATTTTTTGTGAAAAGATATCATGACTAGCAACCAGTGGGCACTCCCGGAACAAGGTTTTAGACTGCACAGCTAACACAATCAGAGTACTCTGAAAACACCCAGATAAATTATAAACACATACACTTCTAGATAACGTCACTAATCCCTTTCTGGTGCACAAATTTCAGATCATCAAGATGTGTCTTGGTTTTCTGCAACCCACTGATTTAAAAAAAAAAAAATCCATACAGAAAATGCAGCCTCAGCAGCTATATATAGACAATTTATATTAGATGCATATTAAAAGAGCCTGTTTGACCACAAAGAACCACAGCACAAAACCAAAAATTTCTACTTACATGGAGATCCAAGTACAATTCGCTTCTGTTTGACTTCTCTCTTTCTTCATGGAGCAAAAATGAACAGGCTGGGCCTGCTCTATAGCCCAGAACCCATGCCCCTCCATCCCTGCTGGGAAGGTCTCTAGGTGTTTGCTCATTGAAGCCATCCCAGGAAAAGCTCTCGGAGGAGATACCTGCACAAATACAGAAAAGACCATCAGTGACATAGTAGCTAAAAAAAAAAAAAAAAAAGAAAGAAAAAAATCAAGCTAGCAATATTTGGGGAACTCCTACATGGACTTCTTCATACTATCTCTTATTTCATTTTCCAAGTTATATTTTTAAGAGTTTTCTTCTCTCCCACCCTTTTTGGATCACGCTAACCAAAAATTAAAACATACGCCCTATCCTCCATTTAAAAACATAAATCTATTCCCTGTACTCTATGCTCCATATTTTTGTTCATAGGCTGCATGGTCTGTTGTCATTCGGAATGGAATTAGAGGAGGATCTGGGGGACAGAAGTTAGGAGACCTCAGCTGATTCACCTGAGCCAAGTTACTAATGCATATGTTCTTTGGGGGCAGGAACTGTACCTTGTTCATCTAGTTTCTGGGGATAAAATCATTATGCATGGTGCATATTAGCACTTGGTCAGTTTGTTGAATGAGTGGGTGTTACATGAGTAACCTATTTGGGACTTACTTTTGTTGTCTCCAAAATTGAAAGTATTAGGCTAACTAATACCTAAACTATGCTAGGATAATAAAATAGTTAACTATGTGCCAGGCACTGTTCTTAGCGCTATTTGTCTTTAATTTTAAAAATAAAATATAGTAAAGTATCATTAGTGTTCTCATTTTAGATGGGGAAACTGAATTACAAAGAAGTTAAGCAATTTGCTCATTATAAAGTCAGTAAATGGTAAAGCTAGGACGTGAATGCAGTCTGTTAAACACTAGAGGCTGTGCTCTTAATGACTACACTCTGTGCCCTCTGCCTGACATTCTTGAGATGGCAACATGTGTTCTACAACAAAAGGACTTTGTGGTCAAATACATGTGAGAGAAGTTACATGATGTATCCCTTTTTTTTTTGAGTTGGAGTCTCACTCTGTCGCCCAGACTGGAGTGCAGTGGCCACTCCCGGCCACTGCAGCCTCGACCTGCTGGGCTCCGGCGATCCTTCCGCCTCAGCCTTCCAAGTAGCTGGAACTACCGGCGTGCGCTACCACGCCCGGCTAATTTTTGATTTATTGTAGAGATGAGGGTCGTCAAGTTGCCCAGGCGGGTCTCGAACCCGCGGGCTCAGGCAATCCACTCACCTCAGCCTCCCAAAGCGCTGGGATTACAGGCTGAGCCACCGAGCCCGGCCAATGTATCCCTTAAAAGAGCCATGATTCATGTTAAAATATTAAAGACCCTGCGACGTCCTTTAGTAAAGAAACCTAATTTTTTATAGTAGTGTTTTCCAAACTTATTTGGCCACAGAATCCATTTAAAGCGACAGCTGCTAAACACATTGCAAGCCACTAGTGTTCTACTGGAACATAGTTTGGAAAATACTCAGGTCACCTCTAAAGTTTCATATAGCACCCAAGTTCCTAGTCCTCTTTTAATTCCTGGTAAGCAACCTTGGCAAAATATTAAGTAACTAGGCAGAAGTTTAAGATTTAAGCCCAGTGTATTTTCGCAAGATGAAGCACTGTTGGATATATAATAGGGTGTTTATTACACATAATCTCTCTAAGAGAGTTTGGCAGTGACCCAAAGTCAGCCAACAGCTTCCATCATGCTGAAAACCTGACTTATACGTGACTTGAGCTGAGAATAAACAAGTTAACAAAGGGATTTTTGGATGACATGCTTCTCCTTTATATTAGAGTAGCATTTCAGAAGAAAGAAATTTTTTAAAGACAGCTAAGGTTTTGCTTTTTGTTTGCTCGTTTGGTTCACTGGTTTCCAATCACACTTCGAAGTGAAAGGTGATGCAGGTCACAGTGTGTCTACAGTTGTCCTCTGGCAGGCTGTCACAAAACACCAAGTTATTCCTTTACCTGGGCCAGGTGCTACAGAACGAGTGCCCTTTCTGTCAGCCCCCTTGCTACCTACTATCTATAGACAGTTTCCTGGGCTTTCATTTAGGGTCTCCTGTGCTTTAGAATGCCCTCATTGCTGCTCTTAAGACACAAGAAAGAACTAATGTCTAAAAAAAATCTCTGGGAGGGGGCACACTGCTAAACTTCTTTGCTTTATCCCCATGGTGACTCTGAGAGGAAGACAGTATGGGCTATACTTTAATAGATGACAAAATTAGAGCTCAGGCCCCTTTTAACTTCTATTTATATGGCTCAGCTCCTTCCTCTCCTAGACTATTGCTGTTCTTGTTTCACAAGAAAAGAGGAAATAAACCTCTTTAAATTTATGGTGTAACCTCACTGAACTGCCTCATCCTCTAAAAAATACTAATTACTGATCAGATCCCTCCTTTTCAATCTCTCTACTTTTCATTTTTATTTTGGAGTAGCTGCTGGCTTTGAGTAAAATTTACATAGATTAATAAACAATATAAAACAATATGTACATCACAAAACACAATGTACAATATCTAAGGTAAAACATCTATATCATCAGAGGCACATTGTCTGGTGAGTACAAGTTTATCATTTGGGTATGAAGGAATGGTAAATTCCCACAATTACAAGGGTTTGTGGTCTTTAGATAAAACAAACATGCATGTGTTTGTGTGTGAACATGCGTGTATATGTATACAAACACATATGCAAACCCCCTCACACACCTGCAGTGCTGTCCAGTACTACATGAATGAGGTGAGGTGTGTAATTCAATTCACTCTTTATGCAGTAAGAAAACAATGTAAAGTGTAATGAGAAATGATAAAAATTAAATTCATTCTAAAAATGTCTTTAGTTTTAAAGAGTTAATTTTAATACCTAATATTGAACCAGACAATATTCCTCTGAAGGAAGCACATCATGATGCATACATAATTTGGGTAAAAATAATTAGGACAGAAAAGGACCAGGGGAAGAAACTAAGTAACATAAAACTGTTATTCTCAAAAGTCTGACAACGTAGGTTAGGAGGTTAAGACAGAGGACAAATTCATCATCTCAAAGACCATCACAAATGTATAAAGTAAATTTTGAGGTAGAGAGTTTTAATAATACAAACATAACTTTTTAAGTCAAAAGTAAATCATGTGTCTGTATTTATTAAAATAGGTCATGCCCATACTACTCTTTTTAGGTGAACAAGTTTAATAAAAAGAGAAGAAAATTACTTGAAATTAGGTAAATATAGTCTGTCAAAACAGTCAACTGTCATTTAATTCTCTGATACAAAAAGATTTGGAGGGGTTCAATTTTCAGAGAACATTTGTGAAAAGTTGAACCAGTCTTATCAATGTAATCATATGTCTTTCCCTTTCACGTGCATATTATAAACCTGCTTTTTAACCCAATATTAATTTTTTTTCCCTCAAAGACATTTCAATGACTTGATCGATCACACATATACACACAGGTTATTTCTACAGCCGACCATGGTTAAAACAACATATAGCACAGTCACAGTAAAGATAGGGTGACTTACCTTGGGACCACTTTGAAAGTCTGTGCTTTTCCCAACCATTCAAAGGATGAACTGCACTTCCTGATGCTAACCTATAACATCAGACTGGGGTTTTGTTGTCAATTATCAAAATAACAGAAGCAAACAGAAAGGAAAGATAATATGCCATTTAAGACAGGAGGCAGTGTCCACGGGTCATCTTTCCAGAATGGAATCAGTCCCTCTACCCATGGTACATTGGATTACTGTTCCCATTTCTTCACTTCCTCCCTGTATTATGCACCCAAGGCCTTTTCTGACTGCCTTTGTAGCTCCTCCCACTTGAGTCGATGTGGAGAATTTCCCTCAATGTGTGACTTACTTTGGACAAATGAACGTGGACAATGTGACAGAGTGCCAATTCTGGATCAAGGCCTAGGGGCTCTATGTGTGTTTCCAGGGCCTGCTTTGTTGCTTTGTGCTTCTGCCTTCATCATGAGACTTGGGGAGACTGGAATGAGACCCAGAACAGACCCGGGCACAGTCCTGTAGCTGGAGTCACGCTCAGCTGAACCCACACCAGATCGATAAACCTTGGCCAATTCTCAGGCCAGTGAATGAGAACAACACATATCTATTGTAAGCCACTGAGATTTGGAGCCTATTTGTTGACACAGTTGTCTTACTATCACGTCTGCCCCCACTAGAAGCATAATAATGATTAAAGACTTTAAACCTTTTCAGCTGAGAGGGCTTAAAGACTACAGTATTTTTATTTTGTAATTTGTACTGAAAACATTTATTCAATGTACATACCACATAATGTTTTTAAAAAATCAAGTGAAAACTCATGGCTCACCCGTTTCCTCATTCATACCAAGATCCACGCACAAACTACATTAAAAAGTTAACCCTATTTACCAGACATTGTCCTTAAACATCTAAAGATTATGTATCAAAGTGTATTCATTTCCAAAGGGAAGTTTGTAAACATACTATATAATCAGCAGATCTGAGCAAAAGTCCCTAAGGAACAAAATTACAGTGCCTATCAGGCTTTCTCCTCTAATTTTCCTGACATATCAAGTACTCACTTGACAGCAATGATGAAGTGGTTTTTGCTTCCAAAAGGAAAAGAGAGGAAAAAACACTCAGTTTGAAACTCTCATGATTTTTAGCTTCTATGCTGTAGTTCCCAAGGCCATCCATCATACTTGACTTAAAATAAATCCAAAGAAGTAAAGTTTTCTCAACTGTGAATATCAGAAATGATATGTAAAGGTAGACAGGTCGTCTTCCATTATGTCATTTAAATATGTACTTACAAGTGAGAGAGGCAGCAATCTAGACATGCAGCTAATGGAAAGTGACACTGTTAAATACTTGTAGAGCGGGCGTGTACCTTGTGTGTAATTATTCATGTCCGTTTCTAGAAAGAAAGAGCTTTGGCAAAAGCAGTCTCCTGGGCTGGTATGTGCCAATTAGAGATCAATGCTCGCCAATCCCACTGTTCTCATTTTCATTCTCAGTGGTGTTAAATGATACAATGTCGCCAAATCAGCTAGGTAGATGTAATTCTGAGGAGGTGTCCTATCTACCCAGCCCAGCCTCTAACTCTCCTC